ACATACCACTGTCTTCACTGTGCAGCATCAGATTCTTTCTATGTTGCTACACAACCAGGCTTCAGCTTAAACTTTGCTGTAGTGACCTCTTGTGGTTTAAGACATGCGTGTCCTGTGGGACATAATTAGTGGATCCATGCAGAGGCTCCTTTATTCATCTCTCGCTTCTCCTGAATACCTCTCCCCTGTGAGTTGGCACTGACAAATGTTCTGACAAAGCATGCAAAGTGCTCCACATTCCCTGTTTTCTAGTTTTTCCTCTTAATTCCATTCATACTGAAAATGTAGGCCACAAGCTTTCAGAGGAGCAAAGCAAAGATAAAATGTACATTTAGTTATTTGTCCGCTTTTTTGTGCGTGTACAAATATTGAAACTGTTTATTAGATTAAAAAAAAATCACTTTGAAGATTATTTTATGTTTCTTCCTCTGTATAGACCCTGTGTCATACTACAATCCTCTACATATAGCCGTTTTAAGGAACAGGCCAAACATGGTGAGGCTGCTGGTTGGACATGGAGCGGACATTGAAAAGAGGGACAGGGTGAGTTTCTATCTTGCTTTCTCCCAATTCATCGCCTTCCCGAATCTGTAAACGGCATCTACTACACATCTGCAGATCCACGAGAGCAGTCCCTTGGACCTTGCGAGTGAAGAGTCAGAGAGACTGCCTTGCCTGATCACATTGCTGGACCTTGGTGCTGATGTAAATTCAAGGGACAAACATGGTATGTCGGACCGCCTTGCTGAAGCACATCAACTCATACATCTGTTTGCTCTAAAGTGTTTTTGCTTTGGTCTCTTTTCTTAAAGGGAAAACGCCTTTGCTCCACGCATTAGCTAGCAGCGACGGGCTGACCGTGCACAACACAGAGAACATCCGGCTTTTACTGGAGAGAGGTACTGCTGCTGACTCTTAAATGGTCTCCGGCTTCTCTGTGTTTGTCTGTTCTCTCTTTGGTTGGTCAAGTGTTAACTCAAACTTCAAATACTACAAGTGTAATTAATCTAATCTGATCAAAGCATTGGATGTGAGTCTTGATCAAGGCTTTCTTTAAATGATCAGAGCCCTTAAAGAGACTCGGCCTCTGATGCTTGTCTACTCTCTAGTATTTTATGCATATAAAATGTGCCACTTGTTTTTGTTCACAAAATTGAACTGGAAACCATCCATGTTGTTTTGGATTTCCCTAACAATTTAGGTGGCTTTGGTTTATCCCTTCTATAATGATGTAAATAGTGATGGAGTGGCTGCTGCATCTCTTAACTACTGGTGTTGTGTAAAGCTGCACAGAAAGCAGCTAAATCAAAGGTCATCAATTTTTATGACATTCAAAGCCAAGCAGAAGAAAAACCGTCTCTGTTTACAAGCCAAATTATCAACAATTCCCATTAAAACAAAATGTTAACATGCTAACATTAACCCAGCACCACAGCAGAGAGGTTCCATATAAGTAACATTGAACACTGTAATGTTGGTTATATTTTTAGAAACATAAGGCTGTCCTTCAGAAACTGTTGTGGGGAAAAAATATCCTTTTGGCACATTTCCCAAACTGTGTAGACACTGTGCTGACACCATGTTGCTTTGTCACTTGCAGTGACATCTGCTGGATTTAGAAAGTCGTTACAGGCAAATTCAATAAAGACGGGAGTTTTTAGCTGGTTCATCCTCCTCATGCACGTTGATGCCTCAGCATTGTGGAAATGCTCTGGTTACAGTAAGACAAAACCTAGGAGCAAATCCTACATTTTTCACCTACAATATAAATAAAAGTTAATTAGGAAAATTGTCCATTCTTATCTGTGCCCATAGTACTTAGGCACTGTACCAATGAAGACCACAAAATAGTGATTAAACCTGGTGACTTAGTGCATGCTAAAGCTGTTCAGAACCCTTATACAACCAGCATGATACCAGCTTCAACAACAACCTACCTGTTGTAGAACATTCTGTCCAACTTGGTTGTTATTGAAACAGTTCAAGTTCTGATCAATGGCACTCCTGCAGGCATGAGGCAGAGACGCACATCTTTTATTATCTGGAGCAAAACTCACACAGTAGGTTGTACAAAATGGGTCAAAATACAATCTCGCAAAGTAGCTTCAGAGTTCTGAGACTCTTGCAGAACAAACTTCTAATCATTTTCCTGGGAGAAATTCTTTGACTCCGCCGAACGACGGCTGAGGGGGAGCACTAGTCTCCGCCGCAGCACCGCGATGATTGTTCAGCCTCCAGAAGAAAATTAAAACCGCCGTCAGGGGTCGTCTGAGGCTGCGTTACAAAAGCTAAAAGAAATAAAAAAAAAAAAGAAGAAAAAAACAATTGCTTCTGCAGCTGTCTCCCCTGATTATTCACAAGCCGGCAGCCTCTTTAAATCCTTGAGGATCAGGAGGAAGGTTTGGGTTCAGTTTAGGCTACGGCAGCTCATCCAAGTAAGTTTCAGATATTTCTTAAGAGTTTGTTTAATCTCTGTTGTAATTTTTTCAGATTTTGTGTTTGAACTCCGCATGTCCGAAATCAGAAGGAAGTAATGGAATAATACGAGACATGTTTCTCTGTCGTATAATTAATAAAACCATGCTGGTGTTAAGAAATGTTTGCTGAAAACAACTTAATCCACCTTTAGGAACTTTGTATAAAATAAAAACTACGTAGCCGCCAAATGCATGAACCCAACTGTTTATCGGTCTTAGCAGAGGTGTGTGTTATTTCTTCCAAACAGCCCAAGAAAACAATAAGTTAATACAAGAAATAATTGCCTTAATTTGTTTTATGTAACTTTTTTTTTTTTAGTTGCAAAGTGTATTCATACACTTGAACTTTTTTTTGATTGTGTCACATTGCAACCTCATGTTAGAGCACAAGTATAAAGTAGAGCAGAACAGACTTGTGGGTTTGATTTATTTATTTTTTTACTAAAAGTGTAATCTGAAAAAATTACAAATTAATGACCGGAGATGGTATCCATTCAGTCTGAGTTTGAGCTATGTGCAAAAAAATTCAGATTCTGTAGAGACGTGCTCCAAAACACTTGTAGTTATATATAGTATGCAGCAATCAGTGGTTCTCTAAAGTATAGGCTCAAGAGGGCTGATTGCCGATGCACACCACTCTTAAGGGTTTTTTTAGCGTTGCAAGAAATCTGGAAAACCATGCGTCCTTTTTTCTTTCACTTCACAGTTGCAATTTAATTTATCTCAGTTTGTCACGTGAAAGAGCAATAAAATGCGATGTGGTTTTACAAATGTAAGAATGCGTTTGGGGTTTATTTATTCTCATCTGTTTGTCGTTGCTGTATCCCTCGTCTCAAGGGGCCGATGTCAACGCTGCCACCGTAGACGGCGAAACGGTGGAGTCATCCTTGGTTTTCCTGGTGAAGGAGGCTCTGGACGCCAGTGCGGAGGATGCCGCCGAGATCGGTAAATTCTGCCTCAAGGCCACACAGCTCCTACTGTCCCACGGCGTGGACCCCAGCTGCTGCCTGAATGAGGACGGCGAGGCCTCGCTGACGCAGACGAGCCTGGAGCACTTCGACTTGCTCTTTCCTCTGGCCGTGCTCCTGATCCAGAGCGGAGCCTCTCTGGTCTGCTCCCACCACAGTTCCTCCTGTTGGTCGGGTTACAGCCTGCTCTTCCAGAGGCTCCAAACCGCCCTGCTGCGCTGCACCGATCAGAGTCACGCCGCTGAGCTCCTGGAACAAGCGGAGATGTTGCTGGACTTGGCAAGGGTAAACGTCCCAACGCTGAATCTGCCTTTGAGGCCGGAGCTCCCTGTGGCCAACCTGGACTCTCACCCGTACGCTCAGGCTCTAATAGGTCTACACAATCGTGTAGTGGAGCGTGAAGGAAGCCCCCCGCCTCTACGTTGCCTTTCTAGGTCATTCATAAGGAGCTACCTACAGCCCTGGCCGCTGGTGGACAGAGTAAAAGCATTGCCTTTACCAGACAGACTGAAAGACTTTCTGCTTCCGGAACTCACCTACACCCCAAAGGCTGGCTGGGCCTGCTTCAAACCCCAACACACTCAGGGTTAATAGAAACTAATTAGCCTGAAATGAAATTGTAAATTTAGCTGTTGTATTTGCAAATTGAACAAAAAGTGACAAAACCTTAATGCCTTTTTTGTTCTGAATTATTTTTCTTTCCCCTACCACCCACCCTTTTTTTTTTTACATTGAAATACTGTTTTTACAATCTTTTTTTTTTTTGTACAGCTAAATGTAAATAATTTAAAATGCTGCAGTACAAAATGAAACCACGTGATGGCAGTGTTGAATCACAGCAGCACACGCAATGAAATGAGATTTTTTTTTTTTCTTTGGCCATAAACTTGTTCCATTTCCGTAGAATCCATCTACATCTTATGGCCTTTTTGTGGTGATGCTGTGTTTTGTAATTTATCAAAGTTTTTCCATATCATATTGGAATAAAGAAAATGTGATCACCACTTTTCTATTGGCTTGTTTTTACACTTCTTTGCATTCTCTAAAAATTGCTCCTGCCTTTAATTGTCCAGTAAGTGGCAGTGTAGCGCAAGATAGGAGTGCTGCACTCACAGGCTACCTGCACAAGGGGAATAATTAATGCCATGTATGTGCCACATGGTTGTGCTCATACACCGAATCTCAGAATAGCCGCTAAATAAAGAGGCGCGAGTTAAAGGCAGCAGCACAGCAGGAAGAGTCTGTCTTTTGTAGCTTTGACATAATGTGGCTGCTGAAGTAGAAAGCTTTACCAAGCATTCCTAATGTTTCTGATTAAATACAGATGAATTCTCCTCTTTCCCTCACACTCGGTTTGTTCAACACTGCTTCAGCAAGAGAAACGCATGAAAAATAAAATACATAAATCCGCACTACGACGGTATAGGAGGGACTATAGGGTACACATGTGTTCATGTGTACGTGTGCCGACTAAACTAAATAGGACATTGTGTGTTATACAACTAACCCCTTCCTGACATTGCTGAAGCTGGAGTGGCTCCAAGGCTTGCAGGCGCTCCAGCTCCTCTTGGTTATCTAGGTCACAGCCTCTGAGGAGAAGAGCCTCAGCAGCAGCAGCAGCAGAGAGCTGCATGACACACGCTTCACTCTCCTGTCCGTCTGAATCTGCCTGCATGCTCTTGACAAAACCTCAACGCTGGCCCTGGTCGGACGAGGGAGGGAGGGAGGGAAGATGGGAGGCGGTTGAAGGAGGAAGAAGAGAGATATAGAGAGAGAGAGAGAGAGAGAGAAAAAAACATTAGAGATACACAGACAGGATGCGTGGAACGGTTGAGAGAGTGCGCTCATAGAGGACATATGAAAGAAAGCACCAATGGTTTAGATATACACCATACACAAGCTGCGGGAGCATAATCCTGACCACGCAGATGTGCACAGCAGTGACAGAAACGAGCCTCTTCCACCGTCTCCAATCCCTGCTAGCGGAAGGTGATGGAACAGAGATAGTGGGGGGAGGGCTAAGCCAGTAACTCTCCATCCAACGTTTATTGGAAAAACAGTGCGAGTGAAGCTCTGTACTGAAATTAGTTATTGATCTATCCTCTCCCCGAAGCCCGTGGGTCTTTCCCAGCACACCTGCTTATTCTCTGATAGCCTTTTCACTCACCGCTGTATACCAAGGGTCTCTGAGGGCTTGTACTTTTAGTATTTTGTACTATACCTGGTTAATTTGTCCAAAGTAGTTTAAAAATGGTTTTAATATAAGATTGTAATAATAGCTAAGTGTTAACCAGAAAGGTTGAAATACAAAAGCTTTTGAGCAATGTAAAATTGTTGAAGGAAAATAAAAACAACTAGAAATTATGAAACGGATGAGTCACAATCAGCTCAGAAGAGGTTCAGGAATTCAACAACACTTTCTTGGGCAGCAAACAGGCCTTAGCTGCTACGCCTCTCTAAAAAAAGAAAGGCTCCACCCTAGGTCGGACTTCAGGAAGGGCTTAGCGGGGCTGTAGCCCAGGGCCCCTAGGTTCTGGGTGGCCCAAATCTTTTTCCTTTTTTTTTAATGAACAGATGTTTTGAAAAATTCTAAGCCCATATCAGTCTGAGATATTTTAATTTGTTGGATTTTCATGTAGCAAACCAATACACAACTATTCGAAAGCAAATGTCACGGTACCAACTCTAAACTAACCCTCGACTCGTAGAATCTCAGACTTAACAGAAAGCTTCTCTGCTTTTGGTATATTTCAGTGACTGCATTACATCACCACATACAGGCTGGGCATATTTACTACAGCCGTCTGTCCATTGTCCATCTCCATCGGTCTTATAAGAGTTTGCTAATTTTTTGAACATATGAAAATATTTCTTGAAATAAAAGTGGATTTATAATGATTTTTTTCTGGAAATAAATACAAAAATCATATTCAATAAAGATTATGTTCATTTGCATGCATAAATTAAACGGTTGTAGTATTTACTCACACATAAAAGGCCTTTTTTACGTCAAATTTTGGAATGGATGTGCCACTGATAGTTGGTTACAGAAAGGATTGATCTCCCCAAAAGTCCTGGTGCTCATGAAGAGTGGGTGATGATTTCAAAGCGAAGAACTTTTGTTTTGTTACTTTCAAAACAAAGTTTTTGTCACATAAAAACATATAAAACAGTTGAACCTCATGGTAAGGAAGGAAGAAATAACCAAAAGTAGAGGGAATAAGATAGTTTATGCCACAGTGACAATTGAACGCTGACAATCAACAAGTCACTCCAGCTGGAGCAGGTGTTGGTTCTGAGTACAAAGTTTCTCAAGTAAGAACATTTTTTGTATTACAGTGAAAATATGTCCCGCTCTGTGCAAACGCCTGTTCTGCTTGTTTACTCAAGATGATCGACCGTAGAAGCAACTTCTTTTTCTGAGCCAGATGAGTAACAGATTTTATCAGTATCTTAATTTCCCTCCCACTAACCGCATGTGTGGAAATGATTTGGAGTGACATTTAAAGTCTAAACAGCACGCTTTTGTGAAAAATTAACTTAAACAGACTTTTAGAGTTCAAAAGCCGTGACAGGTTGGGTGTTTGGACGAACAGTTTGACAGCTAGATTGCTGTGTTGGAGTGAAACAACTCAAATGCAGACCGATTGTACTGGCAAGATTGAGACTTTCAACAGCTTTTATTCACTTTTGCCATCTTTCACTAAAATATTTTGGTGGCACAGTTGGTTGGAGAAAAGGGAGTGCTGGCACATGCCATTGTAAATCAGATGATCCTGCTGGTCAGATCCAGAGAAGAAATTACAGCATCTACCAGACTGCTGCTCAAATTTTAGTTTAGGTTTTCATTTACCACTGTGGCCAATTACAGGCATACTCAGCTTTTAAAAACACTTTTAAAAATCTGGTATGGTGCTAGTTTGCTGTGTCTCCAAGCTACTGCTCTGTGACAACATTTCTCCTGATATTTTTCCTTGTCAGTTCAAATTTCTGTGTACATCATCACTCACAGTTGAGCTGGAAATTTGATTCTCGTTGGACTGTGATGTTTTATTTCTATTCAGTCTCAGTCTAACATCCACCACCTTGGGGTGACTGTGGTTGTGGGGGTAGAGTAGTCGTCTTGTTGTAGGTTCAATTCCAGCTTCCTCCTGCCTACTGATGTGTGAGTATGAATGGGTGAATGTGACTCTAGTGTAATGCGCTTTGAGTGATCAAAATGATTGGAAAAGGCACTATATAAGTTCAGTCCATTTACTTCAGGCTTTAACAGTCTTCATTTCAGTTCTCTCTATTATCACACGTTTGCATCAACTCTGACCAGCTTCCTTGGGCCTGATCCAGTATGATTCTGAATAATGTGGGCAGTGGGTTTTTTTTGTGACCAAGCGGTTCGGTTTTGGTCACATCTTACCGGTCTCCTTCTTTTACAGGTTTGCTGTGTCTCCAGCATAGCTTGTGGCAAAATAGGACATTTTTGTCATCCTATCAGAAATGGCTTTCTTCTCGTCTGATTGGGCTTGTTCAAGGGGAAAGTGTAGATCTCTACGGCTCCTCCAGAGTTACCATGTGCCTTAAGATGCTTCACTACTTAATCCTCTCCTTGCCTGGCCTATCTGTGTAGGAGGAGAGCTATGCCACACTTTCCATTTTTGGATAGTGGACCTGAATAGTGCTTTGTGAGATGGGACAATATTTGCTAAACTAAACGTCTGTTAAACTTCTGCACAACTGTATCCCAGACCACTCAGGAGTGTTACTTGGACTTCACGAGACTGTTCCTTAACAAACATCTGATGCCTTCACAGAATCACTAGATTTATTTAGATTCCACATAGGTGCACTCTACTGGCAAATAAGAGAACTTCAGAATAGGTTGCACTGGATTTTGCTTAGGGGTATCAGAGTCGAGGTGCTAAATACACATGCATAGATATATATTTTTTAAGTTAAGTGTGTATCATACTTCTTTTCCTTCATAAGTATGGACTACTTCATGTTTTATAACCTACACTCAAAATATAGATTATAGATTATAGTGTGTGGTTAAATTTGACCAATTGTGGAAAGGTTCAAGAAGTATGAATATTTTTGCAAAGGCCTTTGGTAACACTTTATTTGAAGGGGTGTGCATAAGACTGACATGACAGTCATAAACATGACATAACATCTGTCAAGGACATGAAGGAGTCTTTATGAATGTTTATGACTGTTGTCATGAAGTGTCATGAAAATCCATTAAAAATGCCAACTTTGCATTAAATTACCATAATTTACAAAATCATGCAAAGTTGGGACTTTTAATGGACTTTTAATGCAACCTTTAGAGCCACTTTGCATTAAAAGTGTCATAATTTACCGAATGGCACTTCATGACAACTGTCATAAACATTCATAAAGACTTCTTTATGTTCATGACAGATGTTATGTCATGTTTATGCACACCCCTTCAAATAAAGTGTTACCAGAACTTTAGATTTGTGTAAAGTGAACCAACGGTATTTGTGGGGGTTAAAGGCCACAGTTGCCCTCAAATAACTGAAATCTCCACAACCATGCAGTTCAAAAATGCTTAAAGTGCTTTTGTTAATAGTTCAAAAATCAAATGTGTCTTAGTATGAATTAATTCACACATTGAAAACCTGTCTTAACACTATCGCACTAGCTAGTCCACATTCTTCCTGTTTGTCATTCTTGAGGTTACAGCCAATCAGTATCAAGGAAAAT